AAAAAGTATATTAATAGTACTGAATATTAAACAGTATTAAATACTAAATAATTGTATTTAAAATACTACTCAGATACTTTTTATTAAATGTATTTAAAAATACTATTCAATACCAATGAAAGTATTTGAATACTTTTATTCAAATACATTTACTCAAATGCTTTACGCCTTTGAATATAATATATGAATATATACTAATTATACTTATTAAATTTAGTATGAAATTGATATTCAATAATTTAATATATTAATTTAAACGGAAAAATTATAAAAATAATAAAGAAATTATATTTTGCTTTACTTTTACGTGTATAAATATTTAAAGAGCTTGATACAATAATTTTCAATAAAAACTGTTTGTTACTATAAAAAAATGCACTGGACTACAAAGAACTATCATCAGAAGCAAAAAAATACTTTTCTAAATCAACTTTTCGCGTTGTTTTCAAATCTGCAAGTAGACATTTTCTATCACTTCTAATTTTTGATATTATTACTAATNACTATTTCTATCACTTCTAATTTTTTATATTATTACTAATTATATATATAAAATAATAATTAAAAGAAAAAAAAATTTGTTTTCAAATTATTACTGATTTGATTTTTAATATGTTAAAAATAATCAGTCCAAATTTTCAATTTTAACCTATTTTTTTGGTTCTTTAAAGTTGATGAAAAATTTTTGATAAAGATTTATGAAAGTTTATAGTAAAAAAAATTGAATATATTACCATAACTTTCAGCTCAATTACAAGTTTAAAACTGACATCTAGGCCAGTCAACAAAGAAAAAATTTCTTAAAAAATTCCCAACTAAATTTTGTTTTATTAATATTTGAATTAAAATATGTATAATGACATACTAATAGTCCTCATTGATTGAAATTGAGATTTTTTTTTACAGTCTCGCAAAAGTTCAAAAATATGAGCTTATTTAATTTTCTCAAAAAATATTTAACTTACAAAAAAAGTTTCGTACAAAAGTTGTTTAAAAGACAATTATAAACAAAAAAATTATCTTATATTTTTTCATTTAAACAAATATTTTTCGAGTTACATTACATTTAATATGAGTACTAAAATTTATATTCCATTTTTTTCATATTACGGTTGCTTTTTATCATGGTATACATTAGACACAATTTTATAAATACATACGTGTGTATGTGTGAATTTATTTATTTATAGTATCATTTAAGTGTAGTGTATACTAAGATACAACCGATAGAGTGGGTAACATCCCTCAATCTCTTTTTTGGTCTTCCTCTATCTCTTCTTCCTTAAACATTCATTTCTATAACTGTTCTTACAGCCTCCGATTCTTCTCTCCTCATCTAAGTCTATATTCTGTCATCTTATCCACGATTGACGCAACACCTATACTTCCTCTTATATGCTCTATCCTTATCCTATCTTCTCTAGTCACTCCACTCATCCAACTAAAAATTATCATCTCTGCTACACTAATTCTCTGCTCTACTTTCTTATCAACCGCCCAACACTATGATCCATACATCATAGCTGGCCTCACAATTTCATACTGAATTTAAAAACTATAATTAGTATTTATTCATATATTATATTTTAAAATCAAAGAACTACTAATCAGGATATAATTAAAGAAATAAGAGTTGATGTTGCTTTTAAAATATTTCACCAATTTCTCTAAAGGAAACACTATCTACAGATTTGCATCGAAGCGTTTCTTATGATAGTGATTTTAATCACTGTCAGATATCATCTATACTTGTCCCATCTATGCCTCGTCCACACTGTGCTACCGTTTTTTGTCATTAAGTCTCCACCAACAATATAATTATTACGAAAGGAAGAGAAGTATTATATTGATTGGAATATTAATCATATTGATCAAACGATGGAATTTTGAGGGACAGTAAACTGCGGCAAAAGTAATAGGAATATGATTAAGATAAATTTATATGGAGAAAGACTGCATGTATTGTGTTTGGAATTTAAGACAAATATGACATTTTATAAAGAATTAAAAAATGAAGACAGCTCCACCACATGCTGCGTTTTTTAGAATTATTAGTGTGTATGATACGATAGATAGGAAAGAATATTTTCGTATTTTTATAATTAGTATTACTGTGGTAAAATAATAAACGTATTTAAAAAATGATTGTTAATTTATGTGTATAATAATATTAGCAAAATATACATTTTCAGAAATTGTACATTGGTAAACTTTTAGCATTTACATGCAATAATATTTATAATGAATTGCTAAAGGTTTTTTTGAATTTAGTAACTTTGAAGCGATATGTCCTTTTCTGTTTGTAATTTTTTTGACCTTCCGAAACATCCAGTTGAAAAACACGTGTCTCCTTGTCCAAATTCTTCTCCGTCTTGCATAGTTTGAGGCATTGTCTTATTGAGAGTTTCAGGTAATACTGTACTTAAAACTCCAGCTATCAGTGTTACTAGAGCAAATATAACTATTGCCGCTCTTTTATCATACGAATCCTGAAATCATATGTTATTAAAACTTAAAGTATTGATAATAAACCGTAATTAATTCTTTCAATATATAATTTAACCATGGGTGAGTTGTATTAAAATAATACGTGATAACTTACAATTAGAGTGACAAGAGGAGTGAAACCAGCTGCTAAACGAGCAAACATACTTCCGAGTCCAAGGGCAGTATTTCTAACAACAGTTGGGAAAAGTTCCACAGTATAGTTGTATATAACTGCAAAAGCTCCTGATATACAGAATTTTCCAACAAAAACAACGATGGTTGATATACTTTGGTATAAAGGATCTTAATTACAAATAAATAAAATGTAAATAAGTAAAAATTTATTTCTGAATTCAATGTTAAAATTAAAACTAACCAGGAGGGAAGAAAGCGGATGATAATAATGAGATACCACCTATTATCATCATAGAACTGTTTAGGAAGCGTCTTCCTAAGCGATCCATTGCAACAATTACAAACATGTAACTAGGTATTTCAACAGCTGCCATAACAAACATAGTAAAATAAGGATTCCCAGATAATTTTCCAGATCTTAGAGAGATTCCATAGTAACCAAAACTAGCAGAAAACCTGTAAAATATAATTTTTTTTTACAATAATAATTCTATGTTATTTTATATCAGGAATTTTTTTTAGCTAAATTATAGTGAAATGTATTATTACCAAAAGAGACAAACGTTAAGAGAATTTTTTCTCATATTAGGAGTTTTGAATAAATCTAATATTGAGTACGATTGATCACCTTCTTGCTTTATATGCTTCTTTTCTTCATTTTCTTTTTCTAATGATGTCATTTGATCTACATCTAGTGATAATGAAATGTTTTTTTTATTAATTTTTAGTGCTCTTTGAATTATTTTCAATGCTTCCTCTTTTCGTCCCTGGCCCCATAACCATCTTGGAGATTCATCTACCAACCTGTTTGAAGCAAATAAATATTTTAATTTATTAAGTAGAATATCAACAAATTAACTATGTTATAATAAATATAATATTTTTAATAATTATTATAAAAATAACGTTTTTATAAGCGAACGTAAACTTTTGAGTATGGGATAGAAAAGACCTACACCAGTTCAAATGACTATCTTAACCACTCGCTTAACAAATAATTACTCATAGAGCCACAAACATCCCTAAATATTTCAAAAATAAATAATTTCCCTTTCTAATACCCTATTCCTCCTTATAAGTAAAGACATTGCTAAAACATTTTGCTCTATTTTTATATTTAACATTTACACACCAAATACTAAAAATTAATAAAGTTCATAATAATTATGAAAATAAATTAAATAAAATGTCATACTAATACTAGATTATTTATAACATAAATAAATATTAATTTTTTTTTTACACATAATATAATTTTATTTTAATTAATATTTAATTTTTATACATTGCTATGGCATGATAACTTATTAGATCGTATTAGTTATGAAGACATGCTAAATTTAATTTTTTTAAGTTTGACTACTTTTTAATCCAATATTGATAAGAGATTTCTTAAGGTAGCGTCAATGTTTTAACTCTAACCGACTCACTGAATGTAACAAGACTAGTCGGGGCAGCAAAAACATCCTTTGTTGCCCCCGTGAACACATCTATGAATACTTCATATCTATTAAAAAAATGCCAACATAATGTCACTATCGCGTGAATATCTCCTATGTTCAAAAAGTGAAAACGAAAATATTAATACATTTCATTTTTTGTATATAAGAGGTTTTTCACACCAAGCGATGATAATATTTGTCAATGTATTAATTGGTAGATGGAATATTTTTTCTAACTAGTTTATAACTATTTAAAAAAATGCATAATTTTTTACAAGAAATGGTACTTTTAGAAATGATTTTGTATAAAAGAAGTCATAAAAAATAATGTTTACTATGAAATAAATAAATAAAGATTTTTTAGCCTTTTTGAAAAAAATATTCTAATTCCGCGCCTGAACAATGACTTTAATTTTTTTATCTAGTTATAAAGTACATAACTATAATATATGAAATGCTGCTTTATTTTTAAGTATACGATGATCATGGCATGCATACATTTTTTTTTTTCGCGACCGGCATTAAACTACCGTGAGGTATTACTTCAGGAAGGTATTACTTCAAGATGGCGTACATACAGAGAGTTATTAATATTATTCCTTACCAAATATGAGGAATTAGCAGTAAACTATGTAAACCATAAATTATTTGTAGTAAGAATATATCTCGAATAAGATATCCCCAACCTGCCACTGCCATAATACCAACAGCAAATGTCATTTGGAACAATATCCCACAAACTGAACGTACTGAAGGTCCAACTAACTCCATAGCTAATGGAAAGTAATTATTTTACATTAAATACATAAAATTACATACAAAACTAATTTAGAATTCAATGTATTCATACATAGTACAAAACCAGAAATATATGCTCCAGACGATCCGAAAATTCCATAAACATAAGTAATGAAAATGTAAAGCCAGTAGTGGTTAACAAATGCAATTCCGACACTTACTATTAATTGCATAACAGCAGAGAAGCAAAAAATCTTCTTACGTCCAAACCTGTTGAAATTTTCAAAATTATTTTTAAATAACAACTTTATTATCTAACATGTCAATGATTTTATTAAAAAAATACTTGGTATTATATTCTGTAAAAATAAAAAAATTATAATATTATTAGAAATTGGATGTTATAATCATTGGTGTAACTAGGGTAGAGGACTTACACCCAAGGTCGGATTTAGAAATTGTGCCATTTGGATACTCAACTCTGTCAATTATTTTATTTTGTTCTTCGAAAATATATTTTCTCAATTTTTTTTTATTTGAATGAGCAAAAAAAAAGTCTTCAACTATATAATTTGTATTGATTTATATTTTAGTGTTTCCCGGGATAATCGTATCCAGTACTCAACCATCCCCTAAATGTGGCACTGTTTAGCCCCAAAAAATTAGATAGCTTCCCAAATATTTCATTCTAGTTGCGCAAATGGTATTAATCGTATCTTTATATATTGGTACAATTATAGAAAAGTAAGCTATGATGTTTAATTTTTACATACCAGTAAATTGGCGAGAATACCATGTAAAAGTATTATTGTGACAATTCATTTTTTTAAATTTAAATAACGACTAGAGGTATAAAAGGGTTTTTTTTCGGTTGGGTTGACAAAATGTGTTTAGTATTGATAATGGTAACATTGTTCTAGATATACGTATCCGTGTGTTTTTAGTAACTCTTTTGTGGATTTTTGAGTTAAATATTTTTAATATAATTTTAATTTTTGATAATGGTTATTAATATAAATAATAAATTCCTTTAAATAAAATATAAGAAGAAAATTTTTATTTTAATTAATTTTTTTTTTAGGAAAAATAATTAAGTTATTTTATGACAATAATATTTAAGATAAAAGTAGTCTACTTGAAGTAATAATTTAATTTAAGCGGAAATGAATAAGGTTTTTAAAACAACTTTAGCTGTGAACTTAAAAGTTTAGTGAAAACATTAATAGTTCAATGCAAGGTTATCTTGCATAAATTAACAAAATAAAAATCTAAACTTTTTACCTACGTCATATAATAAATCTGTATTGATTGACGTAATCGATAATTTTTTTATATAGTATCTTACTTATCAGCTAAGCTTCCAAGTACTACAGCACCAGTAAACACTCCAAACATATAGCTCATTTGAGCCATAGATCCCATCCATTTTCTATCGCAAACCATATTCCACTAGACATTTAAATTAAATGCATAATTTAGAAATATAAACTCAAAACAATTATACAAAAATTAAATATAATATAATGTCAAAATTAATTTATAAAAAATATTTATTGAAAACTAGAATCAAAATTTAAATTTTTCAGGCATAATTTAAAAAATATAACCCAAGTTACAATAGAAATAAATTTCTAGAAATTAAATTCTAGAATATTAGTTTAATCGGAATAAATAATTTACATTTTTTTACTCATTTAAGTTATCTTTCGGCTTAATTTTTAATTTTTACAACGCGTTGCCAATAATGCAATTTAAAAAAAATTATGGTGCTCTTAATAAACTAATTTTCCAATAGGAAGTAGGCCCTTTCAAAACTTATTTTTACATATATGTATACCCTTTTATATTATTGACTAATAATTAAAACATTTTTGATGTAATCTACCTGAATAGCTCTAGTGTTTTCATAGTATGTTTTATTAAATGACCATTGTTCACACTTAGTTGTTACATTGGCGAAATTCAATACTGAACAAGATTCTTTATCATAAATTCTATCTTGAGGAGCGATGACCCAAGAAGGTTTGGATTCATTTAAACTTATATTTTGTATCATACACCTATGAGTTGAAAATTAAGTAAACAATTTTTTTTACTATATCAAAATTGATAAAATAAATTGACACATATTTCTTTAAACTAAAATGTTAAAAGGGATTTTTAGTTAAAATATTTGTTTAACGATATTTCGCAATAAAAGATTAATTCAACTTTGTTAATAGAAATTATTTATTCCATTATTTACAGGACCGTCTCAAAACAAAAAAAAACTGGATGAAGTTGAATAAATAATTTTTGTCAACTGAATAATTTTTTTTTCATTATGTGATTTTTAAAACATTTTTATAGCATTCTTACATAGGATTTATACAGTGAAATAATATGAAATTTCTTAATATATATCAAAAAATTTCTTTCTAAAACACTAAAATATTCACTAGGGGGGTGTGCTGTTTCACCTCTCGGTATGAGCATAATTATAAGTATGATCCGCTAACTGTTGTCCTATGCAATATTTTAAAAAATATGAAGTAAAATAAAAATTTTTCTTTTCAAAAGTTATTAGTATCTTACATACTTAAATTAACACAAAAAATATCGTATTTTTTTTAAATAGAAACATACATGTTTAACTAGCTTAAAAATAAGAAAATTATCTAACTTAAAATATTGACAATAATATAATCAAAATAAATAAAAATAATTTTGAGATTATCACAATTTTTGAATAGATAAGTAATCACTTAATACGTAAAATTGTAGTTTATTATAAAACAATTTAAAGAAATGATTCGAATAAGTAGTTGAAAAATAGTTATATTGTTATAAATAATAAAAAAAATTATTTGTACTGATATTCAGGAACAGCAGCCACAGTGACCATAACCAACATGTGTAAACCAGCTGTGAATGCCGACAAAATATGAAGTAAAAATTGTCGTAACTGATACTGTCCAAAATCCCCTAAAAAAATCACAATTATTATTTTTATTTCAAAATAAAATCGATATAATATTCATATAATAATTATGTTAGTGTCAAAAATTTAATTTTGAATTCATATCCATTGTGCTTAGTCGTAAATAATATGGTAAATTTGTATAAATCACATTATTCAATAAGTGTTTTTATTTTTGACTCAGTAAAATATTTAACTAACAAATTATTTTCTTCGAAATATCGAAGGGATTTATTTCAGAAATTTAAAAACCATTGTATTTTCCTACAAAAATTACAGAAATATTAATAATAAATTTTCTGTTTCTACATTTCTCAAATTAACTAGAATAATTCCAGCTCTTATGTTATTTCTTATAATGATTAAAAGAGTATGCATGAAAGTAAATGAAATTTATTTCCTTATATATAACAAAAAGGTTTTAAACAAAATAATTTTAAAGAAATAGTAAAAAATTAAAATCAGGGTATTTTTTTGGAAAACTGTTAAAAAATTAAGAATATTAAATGGTAAACATTACTGATCTTAGAATATTAGCACTGGAACAGTTTCAAAACAAAAATTTAAAATTTAAAAATCTCATTTTTTAAAATAATTTATATTTATTACTTAATTAGTATATATATATATATATATATATATATTTCTTGAGCATTTGTTGTTTTACAATATATATAATAATAATAATTTAAATAATTAAGTAAAAAGAATACTAATAACTACAAGTATCTCCTCATTTTTATGACTTTGCAAAAATATTTTAGAATTTTTTTCTATTGCTTTTCACTTTAATTTTTTAAATAAATTTGAAAAATAAATAATATTACTAAAATGAAATTTTTCATGTGCATAGTTATGAAATACTGTGTTATATTTTATCTTTGTACAATGCATACTGTGAATAAATAGATTATTTGTTGAAATTGTGAAAAATTCCAGAAGTTACCAGTTTATAAGCATTTAAGTTTAATATTTTAATATTATGGAAATAACTCTATTATCCCTAATGATCATAACCACCTTTCTTAAATATAGGTATTACAATTGGTATTACCAATGTGGTAGTATTCAACAAATATGCATCGAACATAGAAACTGTTCGTTTCTTATGATCAAGAAATAACATCTAAGTTAGATGTTATTTCTTAGATGATCTAACATATTTAATCATCAGAGTACTTGTATGATTAGTATTCTTTTTCATTACAATATAACGAAAGAAATACTTATTTTAATATTAATGAATAAATAAATAATAAATTATTATTTGATATTACAATAAATTTATTGAACTTAAGGATTTTTAGTATATATATTTTAATCACTTAATGAGCATTTACTTAAAAGTATATTATTAAACTATATTTTATGATCTTAGTTTCAATTATTTTTACTACAATAACCCTTTAAAGTAAAGTTGTTTTCAAGGATTGAAAAATATAAATAAACTAGTTTTCTAAAAGAAATTCAATTATACTTCGAAAAATTATGTAATATACTATTTCAATATCAAATAATTTCATAAACTTATTTAACTGATTTATAAATTTTGGTTTAGGAAAATAGTTTTCAGAAACATTCAAGTTTAATTATTTTTTTTTTAGGACTGTTGAGTGAAATACTCTTAATACGGCCTATAAAATAAATTGCTACTCAAAATACAATAGTCGTAATTAGTAAGTACCATTTTTGTAATAAGTATTCTATTTGAACCAGTAATTTTTTAAACATGAAAAACTAAATACAATAAAAATAATTGTTTTAAATTATCTCTGCAAAATATTACCATACTCTCAAGTATGTGACACAAATCTTACACGCACGATTATCGTACACTCGTCTTCAGTGCTAGTTTAACTATCCTAAAAATGTTTTGAATCATATCATTTACGTTCATTTTATAAATGGTTTCACATACAGCTTTGTACAGAAAACAAAAAAGTGTTTAATGCATCGAAAGAAATATTTACGTTAATTTCCTAACACAATAGTTGTTGTATTGGCTATAGAATAAAATAATGAAGGTACATCCAATTGATTTGTGCTCCAAGTAATACTGTAACGAAGCCCTTAAAGTTTTCACGAAAAACAAATCTAACTCAATCTTTATGACGACAAAATATCATCAGGAATTTATTTTGGGTTAATAGTTTGTCTGGGCTTGGCTCTGGTCCATCAAAATAATCATATTTATAATTTTTTTTGTAAATATTGGTGCACCTGGTTTATTTGCGTCAAAAAATAATAACTGAAACTTGGTTCGTTTAACATAAACAATAAAGAACAATATATTTTTGATGTTTTTCAACATTTTTTTAGAATTAATTTTAATTTTATTTAGATTATTCAATTAGGTTTTTACCGACGCAATGATGCGTTGAAAAAATTATTTATTAATTTTTCAAATGCATTTAATATAATTTTGTACATTGATATGACCACGTGATGATCTAAAGATTTCTTTTATATTCTGCTTATTATATTAATAATTAAAACGATAAAAAAACACTGACTTATCTAAGGCAATTATACTTCCTCGATGAAATATAACAACTCACTTAAACAGTTATCATTTTGTAGATGCATTCTTTGAACATATATATGTATATATATATAGACTGTCTCTTAAAAAATTTTTTATTAAGTGAAGTTTTTAAAGAAAATTAAAATTAGCGTTATGAAAATTTATTTAAAATTTTGTATATTACGTTCGTGACTGTATAAGTTTAATCTTATTTCTTCACTGTTGATGTTAGATTCAGGTCGTTATGATTTTACACAAGCTTTAAACAAAGCAGTCACTGAAGGCCATTGCTACTTAATACATGTATGTATTAGATGTATGCACAAAATATGTAGATGCTAAAATATAATTACCTAATATACTGGTTAAAAAATGTATACATATGTAAGGGTTTTGCATATCACACAGATATATTTAATAATTTTCTATCTCTTGAAAAGTTAATTCAGAATTATTTTTTTTAAGTTTAAATAATACAACGATTTAAAAATTTACAATTTGTTAATCATCTATTTATAATTTTTTTAATTTTATATGTAAAATAATGAATTAATTTTAAAAAAGTTAACATTTGGAAATGTTGATTTTTTCTTAGAGAAATTATTTTTTTATAGCAAATTATATAGTACCTATACTAAAATGAATGCACACTGACATAATAAATCAAAAGTAATTGATTTTAGCATCCCTTATAAAACATATACTATTATCTTATGTTTAGAGTTTTATACAACGCTAAATTTTTTTTAACAGTTGCCAAAAAATTTTAATCTAAAGTACTAATTTAATGCATAAAATTTTCTGTATACCTTTTGAATTAGCAATATGTTTGTATATTATTTTTAATATTATATTATATTATATTATTTATAATTAGGGTTCGGATTTTTATATATTTATAAAATGTATTTAGACCAATTTCCAAAACAACCAACTCTATGAACATTTATCAAAAGTATTTACATTACCACGGGATCTTTTTTCGTTATAGGAGTGGAGTGATCCACCCACACACCCCAAAACTAAAACTCTAATTAATATACTTTGATCAGGATTAAAAAAAAACATAACGAATATCTATTTATTATTAATGTACTCTGAATGACTAAAATAAACTTTGTAAATGCATAAAGTTATGAACCATATTTATAACTCATAAATCCTAATGTTACATTGAATGGTAGCGTATCATACATTATTTGTTTTATTTCATTTATATATTCAAATTAGATAGGTGTTATTATATTAAAAAATATATATATTTGTATTAAAATAATGTGTGTACATATATAGGTTAAATATTATTGTGTTATTAAAAGTGTTCATTCAAATATAAACTGTTAGGCTTTAAACAAATTAATTTAGATTAGATTAATCCTTAAAGCGTTAAAAATTAAATTTCTAACGTAAGTAGCAATAACTAGTTCATTTAGCTTATCTCTTTTTATACGTTTCACTTACCTAGATTTCCCATAAGTACATCAATGTTTTGACTTTGACCCATTGTTCACTTATAACACTTTTTCAATGTAAAATTAATAATAACTACTCGTAATTATAATTTATTATAATAAATTTAAAATATAATAATTTAATAAAAAAAAGTTTATATTACAACAGTTGGAAAAACAAAATCATTTTAAAATTGTTAGATTTTGGGAGGAAATTATAAAAATAAGTGTAACAGTTTACATGTAAATTTTTTAGTTGCTTTGAGTTCGGCGGTCACTCGTCGACTATTACGCGAAATGATTTACCGGTAAACGATTACTCTGAAGAACACATGGCTCAGTATTCGCTACTATAGTAAAGTAACATACATGTGTACACGACTAAAACACTAAACGTATGTGTAGTTTGCCGGTCATTATATTATCACGTAAAACACACTTGTTGAATGAGTTGATGTACGATACGAAGAGTAATTTTTTATGTTAACAGTAGATTATTTTTTACGTGTATATTATTCGCAGACAATAAATAGTATCTGTCTATCTGTTGTACCGAAGTATTGCCGCAAGTAACCATAAGAGCTAAACCCCTTCCTTTTTGTTTCTCAGTTCTCTTGTGATTCTTTCAGAATTTCAAGAACAGAAACTAAATACTTATTTTTAAAAGTGTGCGCTCGTAAAGTATGCGTTAAGTTTAACTGAATATTAAAGAGTTTTTTTTTTAAATATTTCTAACGATCGGTTGTTAAGTTGAAATTAGCAAACTTCATGATTGAATACGCTAAATAAATATTCATCTAAACAGTATCACTTTCTATTACACTTGTGCTACCATCAGTTGTACGTGGCACCGCGCTGTTTTTTTTTATTTTTGCATGTTGAAAACCGGCTTAAATAATGCCGTGGGTGTTTATGAAAAAAAAAAAATGAATGGATATCTGCGATAATTTAAAAACTTTAGTAAAAGTAACTTCAATCTGACAATTGACAAAAGCTATTCTAATAAAATACTTATAATAAAATCAGTTTATTACAAAATTATTTAATAATTAGTTTTATTAACGGCAAAAATTGCGAGTTCAACATTTTTTCTTAAAATTAAAAATGTTGTAGTTTTTAATAAGTGAGAAAAATCATACGAATAGTTTCTTTGTCAGAGTAAAAAACGTACTCTGAGTGGGAGGATAGGAGTTAATGAAAATAATTTAGAGTTTTAGGTACAATTAGGAGGAGGTAGAAAACATTTTCTCGTGTTTAATTCCCCTCTAGAAAAATTCTGAGCTGTAATTAGTTTTATTTGTTTATATTTTTGTACATAATATTTTAAAAATTATTGACATAATAAAATATCGCTCAATTATAATAATTTAATTATTAAACAAAGCGTAGAATAATGACAATTTCATTAAATTTATCTCATATTGATACACATGATAGCCTGAGAAATATTTATTCAGTTAAAAATTTTTTCCTAAGAAAGAAATTTAATATATATATATACTTATATTTTACACGATGCTAGAACGGTTGAAAAAAGTACAATAAAAAAAATGCAGCACAGAAGAAACGTGGCATAATTGGAACATCTATAGATGATATCTGACAGTATGTTAATCATTATCATAAAAGTCAATTCAATGCAAACCTGTTAAATTTTTTTTGAAATAGTATATTTTAAAGCAAATATCTTATACAAAAATACCATATAAATGTTTTTCTTTATTTAATCATTAAATATCTTTAAAAAGCTTTAATTTTATATATTTTTGAAGAACGCAGATGTCTCAAAACATCTTTTTAAAAGTTGAAAATTAAGTAATTTTATTTATTTGATGGTCGATTTTTTATAGTAAAACAATCGTAAGATATTTTTTTTAATATTTAGTACACTTTAAAATCTTTAATTTAATACAGGTTAAACATTTTGAAAATGACAATTTTTTAATGTTACTTTGATAAATTTTTTTTAAATTAATAAGTTTTTAAAATTTTTGACATCAATAGATTCAATTGGGCTCCTTAGACTCATATACCAACAAAATCGGTCCAGTGAGAGTAGAAAATTTTTATGGATAGATATAAAAAAATAAACCATCACAAAACCAATACCTTCTCAGCTTTTATGGAACTAATATAGTAGGTACACTTCTAGACTGTATTACTTTTTTATTTATCATTTAATAAATAATTATAACAATATATTATAGTAATAAATCATCTTTGAGTATGAAGATATGACTGATTTTTTAATAATGAAGTTAAAAATTTAACTATATGAGTGTGGTTAGTTAGATAGTTAGTTACTTATATAGAGTGGACAAAAAGGAACTGTCTACTCTCAAACACGTCGTATATAATAATTTTTCAAGACAAAATAACCAAATAAAAACCTAGATTAAGTAAAACTTATTCCATTTAATATAATATGTACTTTTTGAACAAAATACCTGACGGATGTTTGCATGAAACTTTTTACATTCGATTTACCTTCTCTGGAAATTTGGAATTAAATGTTGAAGGGTAGGAAATTGTCGTTATCTATCTTCTAATTGTCGATTTCAAGGCCTCCGTGTCAATAGGTTTATCCTTATATATACATATTTTCTAATGTCTCTAGAAAAAAAATCAGAAGACTTTAAATCTGAATTACATTATGGCTAAATAAACTCTGTGTTTTATGAAATTTAAATAAATCCAGAAAATATTAATCAAGTGTAAAAAGCTTCATGGCAAATCTGCCAGGAGTTTTGTTCAAAAAATAAATTTTATATTAATATTAATGTTTATTTATTTATAATTATATATTATTTATAACGTTGTTAAAATTGGGAAGGTCATTTTGGCTCACCCTGTAGTTTTAGGTTGTTACAGTAGTTATTTGTGTAATACTACATTAAACCAGTTTATATATATAATTATTTTTATTTCTAATATGGTACTAGTAAATAAATTGCTAGAATAGGTGTATTAAAACGGGAAAATTTTTTAAAAAATACTAAAACTTGTTTAACCGTTACTTTGCACACGCAAAGTAACAACGAATTTTTGCAATTATTTATGAAAATAAATTTTTATTTTACCTGATACATAAAAACATACTCAAATAAATATACGAATACTTAAAAAAATATTAAAGTTAAATATTATAATTAAAAAAATTTCTGGTTGCGTTGTTGATTGTATATTAATTTTTAATATACCGATTTATTAAAATCCTAACAATCAGTCGATGAACTATGGTGGAACATTTAGGGGTACTGAACTTCTGTCAGATACCCATTCTATTACATTATTTAATATATAGAATAAGACTCTGGTGTATTCAAAGTAAATTTTATTCTTTTGGATCACGTACAGAAATATGTTAAAAATCTGCTACTGATAAAAACATTAAGTTACTTAGACTTTTTCCAATTAATATCTGATTCATTATACTTAATTTAACATATTAGATCAATAAGTGGATATAATGAGTTTGGTTAGGCAAATTATATTGGTAGTTAATAAGTACTATGAGACATTGCACAGCTCACCCCACCTTTTCACAGGCCTTCCTCTCATAACAATAGTATAAAAACATATGGAAAAAACAAAAGGTACCATTCCTTTTAGGAATAATAGATCTTATTTTTACATATTTACTAGTATGTATATCTAATTATTGATTAAGATAGACCTCATATTATAAAAAAATAATATAATATTACTATTGATGATTAATTTATTAAATATTTTTGCTAATGACAAAAATTTCTGGAAAGTCAGAAAGGTTCCTTACATTTAAAGAATGCAACCAAATTTCTCCATTCACATAATTACATTGCTACTTCTTCTAATTATCAAGTTAGCCTACATCTAATTGGTAAAGTATTATTTAATGATTATTGTAAAATAATAATTAATATTTTGTTTAAGATCATTATAGTCGCAAATAAAAAGGCTTAAACATTAGCGTAGTTTTAATGGGGTGTTTAAGACCCATAGGGCTATAAAAATGTTAAATTTAATTTTACAAAATTAACATTATGAAATACGTATAATAATTAAATAAAATGTTCAAAAAATAATTTTAAAAATATTAGTTTTACTTTTTTGCATATACAATAGTAAAACAATAATAAAGTACCTTTGACCCATAGATTAATTTTAAAGGGCCTTTTGAATACTATAATACAATAAATAGTGATCATAACAATAAAAGTATATCTAAGTATAGCTCAAAACTTAAAATAAGAATATTGTGTACCTTTGCATTGCTTTTTAATTATAGCTATCTTATAAATATAACAGCATAAGTAAATGTATTAATCAATTTTCAAGTTATTTTATCTTATCAAAATATACGGATAAGGAACCACCAACAATTTGTATAAATGTATTTAGTGTACGATGATTTATATTATTTTATAATATTATTTACATTTATTTTATAGATAATAAAGGTAAATTTTTCTCGTTCATTTAAACAAAAAAAATTTGCTGGTGTAAATTTTCAGCAAACGTAGTTAAGACACTTAAAATATTGGTGAATTATCATTATTTTTATTCCAAATAGAACAGCTCTTGACAATTCTAAGTGAACATTCAAAAAGGGCTAAATTATTCAATTTCTGTACATTATTTACAATGCATCAAATATACTTAATAAAAATAAAAGAAAAAAATGAAAAGAATTATTCTTAGAATGCGAAATATAAAATAAACACATGAGCCTTTATTAAACAATGTTCAGTAGTAATTGGCTATTTCTAAAAATAGTAAATATTTTAGTTGAATGAGTAAATAATAAAATAATTGAAAATAATGATTTAATTTTGACTTTCAAACTATTACTCATTTTTTACATTATCATAAAAAAACAATGAATGCATTTAGCTGGTTTTCATTCCAATACCTTGTTAGGTAATAACCTAACTATACATAACTAAAGATAACCTAATTTTATATTACAAAAGGAATTATGGATAAAAATTACTTGATAAAATAGTATGTTACAATAATCATATTTATTGTAGAATAGTATTTAAAATAACGAAAATCGTTATTATTATTGACAATGACGTCAAAATTATTAATTTATATGATTTTTAAATTAATTACTATATTTCATTTATTTGAATATGTTTTTTCAAATTTATCTGAAACTCAAGTTAACACTTACTAAATTAAATAACGTAATGATATAAACCCAATATGCTTTAAATTATTATAAATTAAAATTATTAAAATTGATGCACAATTAAATGAATTGAGCTGGTCGATCAATTTGCAAACCAAGTTAAAAAACAAAATAAATAACAGTCAACCATTATTATGCTAATTATGCTCTGCACAACTTAATGATGTTTTTAAGTAATTGCAACAGCTAGAAAAACAACTAAATTGCAGGGTATTTTTTTTTCATTTTTGTGCTTAAGGGTGTAAAATGAGACTAGTACGATAATTCCACGATCATTCTAACCCTAATTTCTATGAATGCAATGCAGTCGATTTTAATGATTTGTTTACACTTTTTTTTTCTACAAGCTAAAGCAAAAATACAGGTTCAAGTAAAATGAAATTATAGGTGTAGATTTGATTTTTTATTCATAATAGAACAAAAGTTTGACAGAGATAAAATTCGCCCCCTAACGATGAGGAGACAGGAAGAATACCTGATACCCATAATATATTTAATGCAACTCAGATACTTTTTATCTAGATATTATGAAATAGCTTGGAAATAAAGCATCAACATGTAGGCTACATTATGGCAAAATTTCAAGTTCTTTAAACCAATATTCATTTTATAATGTTAATTTTAAAATAATTTTTATTTAACTGGTATTATCCTAAAAATAATGGCAATATTAAAACTTTATTGAAAATGAATTTTCATAGAAAAAATTCAGAATGATACGAGTACACAAAAAAATAAAAACCAATATTGTAAATATATAGCTCTTTTATTTGCACATTAACTAAATTAATTGATTCATAATTCTACTTAAATTAATTTAATATGAAGGACTGATATAATGCCGGTAATTTTGATGATTACCGATTGATTGATGATTAATGATTATTTATTTAACTCGAAAGTTTTTTGTTTAAGTATTTTACTGATCAGCCTGTTACCCACATTAAGCAAACTATTTGAAAAACTTCTACTCAAAAGGATTAGGCCAATATTACAAGAGCACCGCATTTTACTAAACATCCAGTTTGGATTCCGCGAGAGACACTCCACTATACACCAAGTCTATAGATTGACTGACACAATAACCTCAGTATTTAAAAACCTCAAATACTGTACTGGTCTATTCCTCGACGAAGCCCAAGCCTTTAATAGAGTGTGTTATGACGGGCTGCTTTACAAATTAAAACAAATTTTCCAAGCGACTCTATATTTAATAATAAAGTCTTATCTTTATGTAAAAAAGATTATGGTAAGACAAAGCAGTGCAAATTCTCCTTACTACAAAATTCAAGCAGGTCTTCCTCAAGGAAGTGACCTATCTCCCGACCTCTACAATATTTTTACCGCAGACATACTATAGTCTACTAATACTCATCTTGCTACATTTGCTATTGATACAGCTATACTCTCTACTCATAGTAATATTACCGAAGCTGCCCATCATCTACAAACACACGTCAACATCATCGAATCTTGGTTCAAGAACTCGAAAATTAAAATAAATGCAAATAAGTCAAGTCATAAATATATGATATAAATTTAAACAATATAGTAATTAATATCCATAATGAAACTAAGTACCTAGACATAATTTTGGATAAATAAACTGACATAGGGACCCACCTGAAAGACAAAAGGAAAAAATCCAACAGTAGACTATATTTCTTTCGTCCATTACTAAAATCTAAATTATCTCTCGAAACAAAATTCCTTATTTATCAGTCAATAATCAAACTAGTCTAGTCTTATAGTATTCAAATATGGGGATTAGCTAAACTATCCAACTTCTTCTTCTTCTTTTTCCTCGACTTAATCCCAACTACTTGGGGTTAGCCACTCTTATCTAAACTTCCACTTGACACGATCTCCCACATCATCTACGCTGACATCAGCTGTCCTCATATTGCATTCAATAGCATGCCCCCATCTCATTTTTGGTCTTCCTATACCTCTTCTTCCTTCAACATTCATTTCTATAACTGTTCTTAGAGCTTCAGATTCTTCTCTCCTCATAACATGACCAAACTATTAAAGTCTATTTTCTCTCATCTTATTCACGATTGACACTACAGCTATACTCCCTCTTATATGATCGTTTCTTATTCTATCTTTTCTAGTCAATCCACTTATCCATCTAAGCATTCTCAACTCTGCTACACTCATTCTCTGCTCTACTTTCTTATCAACCGCCCAACACTCTGAACCATACATCATAGCTGGCCTCACTATAGTTTTGTAGAATTTACCTTTCAGCCTCATTGGAATTTTTTTATCGCATAAGACGCCAGACGCCTCTCTCCATTTCAACCACCCGTACTTAATCCTGTGTCTTACATCCTCGTCAATACCACCACTCTTTTGCAAACTGACTCTAAATACTTAAAACTCTCCATCTCTCCAATCACGTCCTCGCCTATTGTCAATGATCTCCTCATTTTACCTACCTTGTGTTCTCCTTTGTCAAAGTCGTACTCTATATACTCTGTCTTACTCCTACTTATTCTTAAACCCTTTTCTTCAAGAGCTGGTCTCCACACCTCTAGCCTTTGATTAATTTTCTCCCTATTTTCTCCTATTAACACTATATCGCCAACAAACAACAAGCACCATAGCACCTTTCCTTGTATTTCTCTAGTAATTTCATACATCACTATAGAGAATAAATAAGGGCTTAAAGCAGAACCTTTGTGCACTCCTACTCTTACCCGAAAACTTTCTGATACTCCTCCTACGCTTTTTACCCTGTTACAAGTGTCATCATACATATCTTCTATTATATTATATTAGCTAAACTATCCAACATTCGACCTTATAAAATCCTTTCAAAATATAACATTACGAGTGTTAACTCGTGTGCCGTGATATGTAACAAATAATAATCTACACAAAGATTTAAACATCGAAATTGTTAAAGAACTTGAAATTTTACACTATACTAGATTTCATTCAAAACTTAATACAAATTCAAACCCTTTAATTAAAAAAATATACACGACTTCAATACCTGACAACCCATCACCAAGACTCAAACGTAAATGGTACCGAGACCTATTGACTTAACAAATTAACGACAACAATAAAGCCATAACTTGTATACAGCTTAAACTAAAACTAATTGAGGTGTTATCAATGGGTGATTTCTTTTTAACGCTATTAATGTTATGTAATTGAACAAGTCAGCAAAAAAACTTATTGTGAATTTTATGTACAGATTTTTTTTTTTTAATAATAAAAAAAAATATATATATTTTGGAATCCCTGATAAATGAAGTATTAGTATATTGATTAGACTATGTTAAACATTTGACATCTTTGGCATACACTTGACCATAATCAACTTATTTCATTTAGCAAAAACAATGTATTATTATTTTTTAAATAATAGACAATTCTTTGCAAAATTTTTAACTGATTATATACATGTAGAAGAGAATATCCTAGAAATATCTGTATTACCATTTGTCATCATATTTTAAGAATTTATAATCTTGATAACCATAATGATAATCTTGCTATGCAATTTAGTATTTAAGGGATGTGTCAAAGAATGTTTCTTGAACAATTGCTACACATAACTTTTTAACCTTTTTTTGAATGTATCTCTTCTAATTATTATGCAAAATTATAAAATAATTTTCCTTAGTCATATGACTAAGAAAAATTAACTTACATTAGCATTATTATAATATTACGCCAACTACTACGAGTTTACGGAACATTTTCAAAATTTCTATTTAAAAGGTATTTCAAAAACCTCTTGGCGTACAAGCATCTATTTTTATAAATTATTATACTATAATTATCATTATATAATAATAATACATAATAATATAGTAGATAGTTTTATTAAACTATATTTTATTAAAGTGAGAAAGAAGCGTTTTGTTGGATAATCTGAAAAAAGTGAAGATCAAATAATATATATATATATTATAACCATGGATCTAATATACATGAATAGGATATTCATAATTGAGGCCCTTGTGTTTTCGTGGTCCTGAACTGATATGAAAATGAGGCCGTTTGTTTACATTTTAATAGTGATAAATGCATAAGATACTGTTTTTTAATTTTGTAATAAGTTATAAATTATAACTTTTACATTATTATATATTACATAACTCATACTAATTATTTATTACTAACCATTAAATAATAAAAAAGGTAATACAGTTGGGTCGCGGCACAGAATGAGCGTGGCATAGTTGGGACTAATATAAATGATATCTGACAGTGATTAAAACCACTATCATAAGAAATGCTTCGATGCAAATCTGTAGATAGTGTTTAATTTTAAGAAATTGGTGGATTATTCAAAAGCAAAATTCTAACTTAAAAAGAATTAAGGAAAAATTGCAAAAAAATCATTGTCACAGGCAATGATTTTTAATGAATCGACAATCGTTCGTCCCATTTGTTTTTAAAAAAATTGCCAATTTAAGCTAATTCAAATGTAAAAATTAATTTTTTCGACTTAAAAATAATAAATTGAAATAAATTTAACTTTATATTTTATGTTAATTAGTTTTATATAATGTTCATGAAAATCAGTGTACTCCATTATAAGGTATATTAAAATAAATTAAAATACAATACCAAGAATTTTAACACAAAATTAGCATATTTTTAAATATAATAACAATGTTCACTATATCTCAAAATTATTTGTTTTAATAGTATAGTATATTACATAAGCTTTAATTTAAAATTAAATAAAAGTGACAATATTTCTAGAAAATGTTCAAAAATTGAGTTGAAAAAGTTTAACTCGTGTGTAAAAATTGTTATTTTGAATTCCCCTTGTGGTCAGGTGAAAAAACAGATTTTCAAAAAAAAATTATATAAAATGAAAGAGGTAAAGATAAAGTATTTATGAAAAAAATAATTCTATTGATCCATAATTTTTTCAAAAAGTTATAGTAATTCAAAGTTGAAAAAATAAAATATGAAATCGTAATTTTTAACATCAAAATTGCATGTTTTTCAACTACGGCAACAATTTTTACATAGAAGATAAGTCGTCAGGACAAATTTTTTTTCTTTTACCTTATAGTACATAACATTAGCTTTATTTTAACATATGTTTGAAGCTCGTTGTATTTCCTGAACATTTTCAAAAGTTAAGTTAAAAAAGTTAAATTTTTGTGCAGAAGTAGCTTTTTGAATCCCCCCCTGTGTGCAAGTATAAGGTCAGATTTTCAAAAAATTTATATCAAATGAAAGGGAAATATCTAAGGATTCAATATAAAAAATAATTATTTTTATTTCTTCATTTTTCAATAACTTATGGCATTTTTAGAAAAAAAATGTCGAAATTTACCGATTCTGAAAATCGTAATTTTTTGGGGAACTTTCACTATTTACGGAAAACGAGGGCAAAATTTTTAAATTTTAAGGGTAATTTTCTTCAACTAGATAAAATTTGTGATCGTTTGACATATCGTTGAGAAAAATCTGTCCAGTGAGAACTGAGAAAACGTAGTGACAGACACACAAAAAAAAAAGAAATAAAATTTTAACATGTAATAGTACAAACAATTAGCCTCAATTTATTATTCCCGTAGTCTTTCACTGATAAAGCATCAAAGTCTTATCTATTTTATAAGATCTATCATTGTAACANTTAAAATTTTAACATGTAATAGTACAAACAAATAGCCTCAATTTATTATTCCCGTAGTCTTTCACTGATAAAGCATCAAAGTCTTATCTATTTTATAAGATCTATCATTGTAACAACTTCATTGACCAAATCTTACGTACACCACTGATGCAATTAGTTTCTTAAACCGTATTTTAATTTAGAAGATATTTGGATGTCCAGTAATACCTATTTCCTGCATTCTTCCAATCGCTCCTATTCTAAAAAAAAAATATGTCAATTTTCTATTCTGATATACTTTGTCAATGTGTTCCGAATATTAAATCATTCTTGCAACTATTCAAATCTATAGGGCTCTATAAACATTTCATGAGTTCTAGAAAAAAAATGTTAAAAATCATATTTTGTGAAAGTTCGAGTGAATTTTCAAATTACAATCACTAGGGAACAGTAAAAAACAATTCGAGAAAAACTGATATTACAATACAATTATCAGTAATGAAAATGATAGTAATTATAAGTAAAAAAGACTGATATGCCACAAAAAATACTATTAAAAAGTAAATTAGTCATATAATCGATCACGTTTCATTTAAAAACTAGGGTTAGAATGATCGTAAAATTTACTTTCTAGTCTCATTATACACCCTTAAGCACAAAAATGAAAAAACAAAAAATCCTACAATTTAGTTGTTTTTATGGCTGTTACAATTATTTAAAAACATCAAGTTGTGCAGAAATTAATAACAATAGTAACGGTTGTACATATAACTCTAATTTAATGCATAATTATGAAAATATTTTGGTATTTGTATTTTGATTATGCTATCCTTACATTCACTATAAAGATGAACTCTGAGTTATAAGATACCTTATCAAAATGTAGGTAAAATAAAGACTGTTATTGTTAAAAAACAAACTGATTATGATACTATTAAATTAAATATTATGTTAAAACGTTATTTTATTATAAAATAAACAAATAATTTGAAAATGAAGATTAGATTTTTGTTTGTTACTTTAAGTATTATTTTTTGACTAATAGGCCATTAGCCTGATTAGTTACTATAAAAGGTTTTCTAAGTTAAATTTACGCAAGATGTAATAATGAGAACAACAAGTCCTCTAGTTTGTATTTAAGATATTTATGTTAACAAAATTTTTATAATCTTGCCAGATTTTTCCATTACACGCTGAATATCAAGTTGTTAACACTTAAAAAATTATAGAATATTATGATAAAACAAAATTATACCAATAAATTACAAAAGTTATGAAAAAAATATTTTTTTTATTTTCTTGTAATTGTAATGGTATTCTGTTTTCTCTAGTATATAATTTATTGTATGATTTTTTAGTTTTTATAATTATGAATTATTGTTTTTATAAAATAATATTCTAGAGTATCATTTATATCAACAAAATAAGTTTTATTGTTTTAGAAATATTGTAAAAAAGCTTTTGAACTGAAATATTTTAATACTCATAATTGCATTTATAAAAATTAATTTGTGTCCAAGATAATCTGGTATATCTTATGACTTATGAATTAAATATTAAGCCATAGTAGGCACTAAAGTAGACTTATCTAATACTCTTGTCCTAACCATTATTATTTATTTATTTTTTAAATAATAAAATACTTATAGAATAAAAATATTATTTTATGAAAAAATGATGTAGGGTTATAAGTTATTACCCTTTTTCTACGTCTGTATTATAGAAGTAATATACTTAAATACCCATCTACTATCCCTTAAAAAAAATTCTATAGGCAACTAATTAGTCGTTCATGAATTGTATACGGTATTAAAATCTATGTTATATTATAAAGAAATTCTTTAGTGTAATATACTAAAAAATTTAGCTGTCGTTTTTAAGAACTACAATAAAATTATATAAAATAATATAACTTTTAAACAAAATATTAAAAAGCACAAACTTACTAATATATAACACCATAGTTACAAATAACAGTTATAATTAACCCGTTATTGAAAACGAAGTAAACATAAAAATTATATGTTAAAAGTTATTAATATAAAATTAGAAAAATTATTTTACTGTTTCAATTTTTACATCACATTTATTTTTAATGAAAAAGCTAAATAAATCAATCGTTCCTATGAATATTAAAGTAGTAGGATGTATACCATGTAAACCTTTTCAGTTGGCCAAACATATATTAATAGTACGCTTAAAGTAACTTGTAAACTTTTTAATAAAATCAAAATATATATACATATGTTTATTTATATTTTTAATGTATTATTACAGAATACTGTGAAGCATTATCCTTATTTAGTCAAAAGTTACTTAATAAAAGGTGTTATGGATGTTGAGTGGACCAGGTGGTTGTGGAAATTAAATCAAGTAAATTCATAATTATTATTTATTTATATTATTATTACTTTTTATGAATTTAAATACTTAATTACAGTTTTATTTTTCAAATCAAACATAAAAAAATATTTAAATAGTTAAATTTTTAGTTATTTTTTCACTTTGTAAGACATTATTAGTTTACTAATTTATATATATGTTTATAATACTATTATAAATATGTATATAAAATGCGACAACATTTTTGAATTTACAAAAGCTTAAGAATAATTAAAAGATATATAGAATTTAATTTGATATTGTTATTATAAAAAAACCCAATTAAAGGTGAAAACGTAATTTTAAATTCATTATTCATATTAGATTATTTACTAAATTTTAATTCATAAAAATATAATTATCTTTATTACTGTGATTCAGAAATAAAACATAAAAGTTTTATTTCAAAAATGTAATTATAATTATCTCCCATTCTTGACATTTACTCTAAAACGCTAAATACGTTTTTTTCTAAAATTCCAAGTTTAAAAAAATTTTGATACTATTTAAATTAGATCTAAATTTTCCTGACTTTTTTATACAGGCACTTGGTGGAGTAAGACGGTCTTACGGCGCAATAGTTTTCATTAATGATTTATTTATTGGATCTACAGATGAATTCCAATCATATTTAGAGAGTCATTACAATTTTATTTTTAACTTGTATTTCATAAATTACTGTAAATGTATTTACCAAGATATTGAACATTATTATAACAAAGATAAAGTAAATTTAATAATGTTTATCAGTCAAAGATCAATGTATAATAATTTTGGCACAATCTAGTTTAATATTTTCTTACAGGTAACTTTTTTAAAAATGGTTTTCCTTAGCAAAAATAAGACAATTGGATACATTATTTTTGTTGTATGTACAAAATATTAATTAGTTAAAACATAATAATAGTTCTAACTTTCTTCATAAATATTTAATATGACTATAAAAATCTATTTAAATTGAAAGGTCAAGTGTATTAACCGGTTATCTCCACTTTTAGCTTATGCAAAGTTGGGAATCAATATGATATGTTATCATTATTATTATTACTATTATTTTTTGTTTCTGTCGCAACTTTTTTCAGATTTACGCCACTGATTTTTATCGAAGATACGTTAAAAGAACACAAATTATAATTTGTTGAAGACATTAAAAATTTACTCCGTTGCCCATAAGGGTCAGTTATCCCCAAAAAACTAAAATATTTTTTCTTAAAACGGTCATAACTTTTTAATAATCTATGAATTACAATAATTTTTTCATACCGTAGGCGTTTTCCTATTATTAAGTATATTTTTTTTTGAATCTGACCCCCTACCAGATCACAGAAGGAGTTCAAAATGGTAAATTTTCACAAAAAGTTATTTATACAACTTATTTTTTGATAATGTCCCATTAATATAGCAAATATTTTCTGTATTTATTTCCTTTTAAATAATTTGTTTATAAAAAAAAAAAATCCATTAAATTAGAAACATCATAAACAAACATCTCAATATGTCTTTAAACTTTTATGTAATTTTTTTCCGACTGAAAAATTTCTTTGATTTTAGCTGCTAAATGAATTAGTACCAAAGACGTGCAATTATTTCAAAAACCTATGCATGGACATTACTAATGGTTATTTCAACAGTCCAGTGCACAGAATATCCGTTGACAACGGTTTTATACAGGCCGGGCGTCAGTAATTAGTGTACATATTATAAGTCGTAATGTTTTTTATGTAAACACTCGTGTTCACCGATAGGCTTAGTTAATCGAGGTGAATTTTTAAAAAAAGAAAACTACCATGTAAGACACGACAGAAGAGGTGTGTTGTCGTTAGCCGGTCGGCAGACTTCCTATAATGGCCCGGAATTTGTAATAAGTCTTCGATCGAACCCGTGGATGGATGGGAAATATGTGGCTTTCGGGTTGGTTTCTATTTTACATACCTAATAAAATACACGGGTAATAATTTTAAAAAAATCGCAACGCTGAAAATAACGTATTTAGCCCGAGGTCGTCAAGAATAAAATACAACACAGCCAACTGGTTGCACTTTGTGTGTGTGTGTGTGTGTGTGTGTGTGTGTGTGCAAATTGCACTGAGTGTAAATCACGGCGATTACGACCAACGCGAACTGTTCGATACTGTCAATCACGGAAATGTTTACATAGTTAAATTGCAGTTCGCCAAGCCGTTTCACCGCAGGCAGTGTACTATGTTTTTATTAACACATGCATTATTACAACGCACCTGTGGGGTATTGGTTGGTTGCACTTTTATGAGTAATTTTTGTATGTAAAAGGTACGCCGTTGAAGGCGAGAAGACGCTCCGAGCTTTGGAAACGTCGTTGGCCGTCCGAGAGGTGCCCATCGATCCGATACGCATAGGGCACTGTAATTTGTTAGTTAATCGTGATTCCCAAGAGGACACTTGGCCGGACGTTAATCTGTTCGTGCACAGGCTGATCGACGAGTTGCTGCAAAAAGCCATGTACATACAAGTGTACGGACGGCCCGAAAGGTACTCGATCGAGCTCACCGACAGCGAGTACGCGGAGACGTTGACCCGTATTCTCATGTGCAAATTGTTGCGAATAATCGATCAGCTACCGTCGATCGGTTTTGACGTCGAGACTTCTGCGTCGTCAAAAACTCATTTGACGTCAGTTCCCAGTGTTCGATCCGACTGGGAAGAGCATATCATCAAAACAGTTGATTTAGATCAACGGGAACCACATAGATATCGACCATTCGTTCACGTGTAACTGTGTAAACGTCCTTTTTTTTAAATAGAAAAATCTTTACACAATAACAATTAGTGTAATGGTTATAAAATTGTTAAGACATTACACGACCAAGAGGTCGATTTACACAGTAGAAACTAATAGGGAGAAAGAGAACGTTTTTTTCTCGTGGATTAACAATTTTAATTAGGCAGTGTCTTATGATACCACACTTTTTACAAATCTCATGCAAATTTATTCAAAGAAAAAAGTCATACGATCTCAAAAAAAAAAAGTAATGTCTTGCTTAAAGACATTAAAAGAAATTAATAGCTCAGAAATCCTTTCCTCTGGTATTACGATGCCTTTTTTGGTGTTGAATTAGTTGATGGATTTTATTTGTGTGAATAGATTTTTAATCATAACCACATGCTCAACAAGATTTATTTCTTAAAAGTTAAAATAGGTCATACGACCACATAATAATTAATGTTGCCATCAGACATTTTCTTTGATAAATAGCAATGGAAATATTATATGTTCATTAGTTGTATATAATACACAAAAGAATTTTTAAAACTACAGTGCATAAATTTTAGAGATAATTGTAATAAATTTTTATTACGAATAGATTACATAACTTAAAATTTGAAACTTTAATAATATAAATATAATGAATTATGCCCATATTTCTCAGTCAAATGTTAAATTATGTTATAATTAAAATTTTAATTTTCCACTTATGTATACAAATATACTAATTTAAAAATAGTTTTTAACACAGATGACCATAGGGGCCATACCCCTCGTTGATTATTAATCAACCAAAACTGAACGATAGCGTTCATTAAAAATATTATATCAATATAATTTACTTCTAATAGTATTTTTGTTAATTTAAGTATTAACTAAGGAAATACCAATGTTGACGTCTTTTGATAAAACTTTAATGTAAAAATACTAATTTATTCAGAACTACCTGTTATTTATATGTGACTCATTTCCTTATATGTGACAATAAAAATTTTATATTGTCATCATAAAACTACCTAAAAACATCAGATCGGTTTAATCGCACTTACTAATCGATTTCTCATGAACATTCCTATTACTTTTTTGTATTTGGCCGGAAATTGTTTTGTTAAAATTTATATTGTAATATTACTCAACACTTACTAGTGAACAAATTCACTATAATTAAGATTTTTTAGTACTAACACGTTATGATCAAATAATTTTGTTCATCAAATTTTATATTTTTAATATTAAGAAATGTTAATATGAATCTTCAATGACGGACATATATAAACTCGGTTTTATGAAGGCATAAGTATATTAACATGAGACCATTACTTCTAATTAAATTTATTTTATATAAACTTGAATTTATAGCAATTAAATCGAAATAATTGTTCTAAAAAATACTCTTTAAACAGTTATGACGAAATGTCGAGTGTCTATTATATAAACCTCGCACATTAATCCATTTATGTTTTTTGATATGATTAATAACTCGTTACGATATTTTATTGTTGTATAAATAAAAAAATTAATATATTTATATATATATATATATTTTTTTTTTGTAAAAGATTCGTGTACGTGACATTGTTATTTCATTAGTAAATTGAATTTGGAAGTTACCGATCACATTCAATCACTCGATTCTACTATACATGAAAGAGCCATAAAACCACTGAGTGCTTTAATTATTGTGAAATGTAATTTATAAAAAAAAAGCATAAAATTATTTTTAGTTTACATTAATACCCACAGATTTAAACGTGTACACGTAACGTAATGTATACGTTTGACATGATGTATGGATTTTTTTTGTAAAAAGAAAATTAGTTAAAGTTTTAATTAGTCGAGTTATCGACAAACGACCGAGACATTATAGTAAGCATCGACCACACTTTATGGGATTCTCGACTTATTTTTAGGGTAACAAGAAAATAACCTTATGGTTTATCCTTTGTATGCTGACAGATTAAGGGTGAAAACGACCCCAATCATTCACGGCTAATACACCAATACCATGTAGACCATAATGTGCCCAGTAAACATGATATTACATTGGCTTTCGGTTTTTAACTTATTCAGCCGTACACATCCAAAAAGTATGAAAATGTTGAAAAAAAGTTTTAATTGAATTGACAATAATTCAAGTGCCGCAATAACATTTGGCTTACAGTGCAATTATGTGAAAGTTTTTGGACGTTTTCCAAATAATTTTCCATGCTAAGTATTTTTAAAATATTAACTAAAATTGAAAAAGTTTAAACAAAACTACGCATATTGTTAACGGTCACGATTGTCTTTTCTTATTTCAAAAATATGTCCACTTTCGTTTTCAATTATTTTATTATGACCGAGCACAATATTGTTAAGGAAAAGAAATAGTGAGATCATTATTTTATTGTTGTCGGGTATGAAGCAACATAATACCGTCTATTTTATGGAACTACATGACAATATGACTAACGTTTTAGTTGAAAGCATTTTGTTTACATTTTACCATATTTTTTTACTCTTGTTAACACTTGTAAAAATCGGACTGCTATAAGCCAAATAGAGTCTTGACAACTACTTCGTTTCATGACACATTACACACTACACAGGCTGTGTTTAATGTTTATGTAAAAAATAGTTAGAACAATCTGTATTGACGATATAAGCGATCGCTGAAGGGTGTGACATTTAAACAATAAAAAACAAAACACTTGGATATGTTTTCAGGCCAAATCATCGACACACAGAGTAATAAAATGAAGAATTAAAAATACTCAATACTTAAATTTATTTTTGGAGTCGGTTGTTTCATTAACATTGGTATACTTACATCAGTATTTAGTCAAATTTTATCTGCCAACAATAGGTTGGATGAGTAATGATTTAGCTGTACACATTTTTAATGGGTTTAGGTTTTCAATTTGAATATATGACTTTTAAACATTTACTAAACAAATTAAACATTTATTTACGTAGTTCATTTTAATGATATGTTTAAATTTGAAAAATAAAATTCACTGATAGTTATATAAATTCAAATTTATACCACTAAAATTGTTTGCGTCCAAAGATTTTTTATAAAGTAAATCTAAATTATGATACAAAATGTATAGAAATATTTTTATAAAATTACGTCATTAACAACTTCTTGGAGATCAAAATTTGTATAATCAAATTGTTTTTATTGTGGTGATAAAACATTTACATCTATTTTTTTTTAAATCTAATGAAGAATTATTAATGATGTGTTTTCAAATAATAAGATAATATCAATGGGATTATAGTTCGTATAATATTATTAACGCGACTGTTTATTATTTTTATACGTGGATAGTTCAATTGTCTTCATTCTAACGAAAAATAAAATGAAAATTTTGCCTCAACATTTCGACAATCAAGAAGTGTCAAATATATTTTTACTTTTTCGGGTTTTTTAATGACTACATAGTCAAACTGAAGTATAGGTAATTACGAGTATACATTTATCCAATTTATAATTATACAAATAAGATCGTTCGGGTTAAGTTGAACAAAAAGATTTCTTGTCGAGACAATCAGATGTGTTCAACATAATTAGTACTTGAAAACAACAATGAAAACTTGGTTCGCGACGAGTCTAATAATGACAGGGAATTTTAGAACGCATAAGTGTAAGTTTTTATAATAGAGGTGTTTTGTTTCGAAATGAAGTGTGACATAGCCCATTGGAAACATAATAGACGCCTTAAAGAATAGAAGATACCAAATCTAAATTATTATTTTACCACTAAAAGAAGGTTGTTTTTGAAATATTAAATTTCCTATGAACTTTCTCGTGTCGACGAAACTTATGCGATGTTCAGTTATAGAATCTAAAAAATTTAAAAAAATAATCGTTGAATTATTTAGACCAACCTGGACAGGTCCTATAAGACAATTTTTACAAAAAAAAATCTGATGTTTATAAAAATACTATCTCAGAACCCTTTGATACCGTCTATTTTGATTAATTAACAACAACTTTATAACCAACACGGATACCAATATATCTTATTTCCATTGACTACTTAATGAATACGAAATTTTTCGAACTATGTCCACACCGATTACATAGTTGTTAAATGTTTTAATTTATCATAGTCAAATCGCGAACGTCTGCGAATTCTGAAAATAATTTATCGTACGTGTGAGAGTTAAGTTGACGTTATGATACAAGTACAGACTATAATAACAGATGATAACTAATGATTTTGGCGCACTTAGTAGACGTGTTATGTAATCGGAACAAAAAACAACAAATGATTTAAAAATAATATACGAGGTCCATTTTCGTTCGAACAGAAATGGTGTCTGCGGTATGTGATAAATATAGTGACGTCGGCCACACAAAAAAAGACTTTATTTCATGATTCACTTTATTATAAATCGGTCGGTGATTTATTGAAGAGCGAATTAGACACAATTTTGTTGCGCAACGTCGTTTCGTTGCGATTCTCACGCAACGCGCCATTATAACTTGAACTTTAAGTACAATTGAGTTCATGAACATTATTGAAAACGATCATATTGTAACGCCAAAAATGTACCAAGATGTCGTCGGGGGCACAAATTGTCGGTCGAATAGTTCATGTATATGGACACGTTTATAAGTAAACGGGTTATAAAAAAATCAATAATTATATAATAAAAATATTAAATACATTGTGCTATGATGTTCAACACCGCAAGTATGAAGAAAAATTACAACACGGGGAGGAAGGTACAGTCACGTAAAAACAATGATATGACTCGTTTTACGCACTTGGCCCACTTCGAATCCACTTGACCGCCACCACACTCTTTACCATCGCCGCGTGTACTCTATAGCGGTGTTCTATTGTAACTACAAAAGAACGCTGTACACCTCTTGCATGTATAATAATAATAATAATAATGTATGCATACAGTCAACGGTCAATGCACACGGAGAACAATTGAGGCTAACCCCATCCATAGCGCTGCCGTTGCTCAGTATAGCAATTTACCGGAATATTTGACAAATAACTGTCCGA